AAGGACAAAAAAGGAAAGCCAATAAATAGTTCAGGTCTGTTGCGCTTTAGGAATGTTTTCCAATAGAGTCTGATGGGGTGCCACACCCTGGCCCCAAAGTATTCTCTGGGGACTTCATTGCTCCACTCCCCTTGCTGCTCTGTTGCACACCCTTAGCATTTCGCCCCAGTGTGGTGGGGTATGATCTGGCACAATTCCCGCACTGTGCCTCCATTGTTGTCCCCCGTAGCACTATGGGTCAGTGAGGGACATCTTGTCTCATGGGGCGGGCCCTATGGTCCTCTCTGCATTGGCTGCTCTGAGCAGGAATATCACCCTTGGGGCTCAGTAGGCCAGGATGTGCTCCACTCTCTCCTTCCCTCTTCCTTCTCTCCTGTGCTGTCTTCTTTAGTGTATTCTTCTGGGAGGGAGAGGGGTGTCCACGTAGTTAGGATTGGGGTAGGCCCCGAAACTAAATTTTATTTTATATATTTATTTTTAAATCATATTTATTGGGGGCTCATACAGCTCTTATCACAATCCATACATCCATCCATTGTGTCAGGCACATTTGTACATTTGTTGTCATCATCATTCTCAAAACATTTTCCCGAAACTAAATTTTAAATTGTTATATTTCTAGTATTTTGATCAATTCTGAAGTTAAATGCTTGGCCTCAGATTTTAATTCAACTTTGCTGCCTCTGCCTCTACGCTGACCCTAAGCCTTGTTGTGGTGCACTTGAAGGTGATTTTAAAACTAAGGCCTTGATGTGACCAAAGATCCCAACAGAAGTCCTTTTGGCAGTTTTCTCTTGACTAAATGACTCTATCTTGTTAAAAGCACTGTTGGTCTTTTTCCCCCCATTCTTCTTGCAAAAAAAAAAAAGTGGCTTATAATACACAATTCTTAACTGGAAATAAGAATTTGTTATGCTGATGTCAATTCATATGTACACCTTGTATTTGAGAAATGCTTGTAATTTTAAACTTATTCTAAGAAATTTGTAATCAGCCACATATCTCGTCACCTGAAGCCCCCTTTTGCAAAGAAGGCCAACTCCTGCAAAGGCTGGTTAACCAATACTTTCCCCTTGCAACTTGAAAAATTGCTCTCCAATCAAAAAATAGCCCCAATACACCCTCCACCCCTTTAATGGTTTTCTGCTTTGATTAACGTCTGCTAATTAACATTCCAAGTCTTTTGGGGACACATGGCTGCTTAGCTTTGAGTTCTCTCTTGTGCAAACTGTTTTTCTGCCATTAATAAAACCTTTCATTTTCACTATAAATAGTAAATAGACTAGTAATTACTTGGATCTCCCTGAGCCACCTTTTCTTTCCTTTCTAGTTAATCAGATGCTTCATAGTCTCAATGTTCCCAAGATCACTGTAATTCTCAACCGGAGATTTTGAGTCGCAAACAAGGCTTGGCACAACAGGTGGTGGCAGATGTGATGAGGATGTTAGGGCTTTAAATTTTTTTTCCAAACAGCAGACCCCATTCTGCCTGCTCTCCCAAGATTCTCATTCAGGATGAGAGGGGTGGGACGACCAAAAAAAAAAAGACTTCTGCTTCGAGGAGGCCAACTCCTGCAAAGGCTGGTTAACCAATACTTTCCACCCTCACACTCCAAGGTCCCTCTGGGCACTTTCCCACACAGTCTTCTCCTGAGGGTGTCTTGCTCCTGTCCTACATAGGTTCTTGGAACAAGGGGTCCACTGTTACACTGCCATTGGCTGGTTTATCCTACCTCTCTGCCTTTGCCCACGCCGTCACTTCCATCTGGGAGGCAATTCTTGGTCTTTCCACTTGGAACATTCTACCCTGTTCATCAGTCTGAATACTGTAGAGACCTAATGATGTTAAACAGAACTAGAGTCATCAGGGATTTGCTGCTTCCCTAATTTACCTGCATCTTTTTCTTAAGACTGAAGAGTCAGGAGAGTGCTGGAATTAAGAAGCAGGGCACAGGAATCAGGCAGCATTGGGATGATTCTCTACTTACTAGCAGGTTGGCCCTTTTCAAATTCCTTAACCTGTCAGTTAAATGGGAAGGACAGCAGGACCTCCCTCATCAGGCTGCAATGAGGGTTACATAGAGAGGATTTAGCACAGAGCTTTGCACAGAGAAAGCTGGCCAGAGTGGTGGCTGTGTGTAGTGGAATGATGAGTGATTTTCAATTAAATACCTTTGATGTACTTGCTTTTTACATTTTCTCTCCTTGGCTACTGTGTCTTACCAGGCTATACAGAAAATGATCATTTTCTGCTAATATGGGGAATTCAAGTAAATGTGTAATTTCCAAGTGTGATATTGATCTTAAAATATGGGGAAAATATTATGGGGACTTGGGTAATAGAAAATTGTTGAATATTCTACACTCTAGAATAAGTCTAGACTAGTTTAACTTACAGAGAATCCCAGAACCCAACATGCTGAGGTGTACATTGTGGAATATCAAAAAAGAAGGGGCAACTTTCAAAAAGGCAGTCATCAATGACTTCCCTCCTACCTTTTCTTCAGTACCCAAACCTGTGCCTCTGGGTTGTAGGGAGATGGGAGAGGGTAGTAGTGGGTGCACAGTTATAAAATATTTGGAAAGATTTGAAGTTTAAGCAACAGAAGCTTAACTTAAAACAGTGTAAACACTATGGGCAATTGTTGTGTATTGAATTTTGTCCCCCTAAATATGTGTCAACTTGGCTGGGCCACAATACTTAGTTGTTTTGCAGTTATTTAATGATGTGATCACCCCTCATGAAGTGCTCTTGTGTGATTCAATCATTTGTAAAATCTGATTACAACCCTGCAGTTGTAAAAAGATTAGGGTGGGCTGTACTACCCTTACTCAGGTTACAGGCCTGGTCTGATGCAAAGGGAGTGCCTCTGCATCACCTTTTATAAGAGGTGCAAAGAGAGAGAGAAGCAAGTAAAGAAGGAGGAACCTCAGTACTACCAAGAAAGAAGAACCAGGAGCAGATCTGGGGGAAGATTTACGTGGAGACACAGATTCCTAAGACATGCTGGGCCCATAGATGTTGAAAGCAGTCCAGAATCTTTCTCCAGAGCCAACAGAGAGAGAGAGAGAGAGAGAGCCTTCTCCCAGAGCTGTCACCCTGAATTTGGGCTTCCATGATCCTAAATTGTGAGATAATAACATTTCTGCTTGTTACAGCCATCCACTTGTGGTTTTTCGGTTACAGCAGCACTAGGTAACAAAGACAGGCATCTTGCTTCATGTACAAGTTCATCAAGGAAGATCAGACGCAGGCTGGCCCTCGGAATTTGGTCCAGGGGTGGGATTCAAATATTTAACAACCCAAGAGGCAAACGAATTTTGGGAATGATGAGGGCAACAAATGTATAGATGTGCTTTACACAATTGATCTATGTATTGTGATGAATTGTATGAGCCTCAATAAATTGATTTAAAAAATAATAATAATAAAAAAAATTATTACCAAACCAAAAAAACAAAAACAAAAACAAAAATTTAACAACTGGTTCGCTGCCCTAATGACTATTTTAAGTATAAAAAATGATGTCCTGAAAGGTAGTTTATTATTTCATAATTAATACTTAAGAAAATTAAATGAGGTGCACAAAATTAGATTTAGTTTTAAAATTTTGATAAAAATATTAACTAATACTCCAGAAAAAAACAATAAAACTTATCTAAGATATTTCCATATTGCTTCCTAATTGGCATCTTCATTTACAATACTCTTTGCTTCATCAGCGGTGTGCGTTATCGTTCTTTTAGAAGTAGGCCAATTAGACATTGTCTAGGTCTGCCTTGTGTAAAGGCAGCCAATAGTCACTGTGCTCAATAGATTAGAAGCAGGCTATTTCTCTTCCCTGAACACATTATGTTCACCTTGAAAAAACCCCTTTCCACTTCTGCAGAACTTACAGAAATTGCTTTGAGAATATTTTTAGCTCTTTGAACACTTTCAGAAATTGCATAATTCACGCATAATATCTCATGGGAATTTGAGTTGTAACACAAAGTTGAAAGGAATGACAGCATGTCACCCTCTGGTTGTTTGGCACTTTTTCTGTCTATGTTACATTTATTTACTGAAGTAACAAACTCAAGGGAATAAAATGTACTTTTTCAAAAGTATAACAAGTTTCATGAAATGAGTAAAATTACATGCCTAGTTCCGTCTAATTTTTTATACCTATAGAAGGAAGGAGCATCACTACGGGTGCTTAGAATGCACCTTTGCAAAGATGAACGTTAAAAAAAAAAAAAAAGAATGTAAATACAGTGTCATTTTAACCAGTTTGTCATTCTGCCGAACTCGTGGGAACCAACAGAATCCCACCAGTAATTTGGTCCCTGTGAAGTTCACTCTTGCTATTTCTCTGGGGTCATTCTCTTGGCTTTTTCCTGGAAGTCTAGGGATAGAATTGAACTCAGGTCTGTGTTTTCAGAAAAAGATGTTTAAACATTTCAGAGAGTAAGAGGCCAACATGCTTTTCTTGCAGTGATTTTCCCTCTACCTAGCTTATCTCCGCTCTGATACCGCTCCTGGACATGGTGCATCGTGTATGCAATTCTATCAGCAAATATCTCTGGAGTGACTATTCTGCCCACCCAGAAGCCCTGCTGATGTAAGTGCTGAACTGCTAGCTGTGAGATCGGCAGTTCAACCCCACCAGCTGCTGGGAGTGAGAAAGATGAGGCTAGTATCTAGCTTTCATTTCATCAGCAGAGTTTTACTAGTGTGGGCCATATGCCATAGATGGAACTTATCCATCCTTCTCTCTCTCCAGTTCCGGGAACACCACGGCAGGTGTCCGTTTCCCTTTTGTGGAGTGAGGGAGAGAAGCGCACGGCGGGCTGGGAAGGCTGTAGCTGCAGGCCGAGGGCTGCGCCGAGCGATGGCGGCCGACAAGGTCGTCTAGCGGACACTGGGGGCAGGGAGCGGTGGGCGGGGCTGGCGGGGCGGGGGCCGGCGCCTGCGCCATAAAGGCCGCCGCGCGCCGCGCCCCCGCCCCGCTTGCGTCGGCTTCCTGCTCCGCGTTTGCTCCGTGTCTCCCCCAGGTTCTGCTATGGCTGCGCTCACCCGGGATCCGCAGTTCCAGAAGCTGCAGGAATGGCACCGCCAGCACGGCTCCGAGCTCAACCTGCGCAAACTCTTCCAGGCTGACCAGGACCGCTTCGGCCGCCTCAGGTGCGGCGCGGGGCGCGGGGCGCGGGCAGGGAGGGCATCCCCGGGGTCACGTACCGGGGCCCACGTCGGACCGCACGGAGACCTGGAAGTCTCCTTGGAGCGCCTGCCCGGGGCTCGAGGGTGTGCCGGAGTCTCGGGGTCCGGTCGGATCAGCCCTGATGGTCGTGGATGGAACCCCTCAGCCTTCGCTCTCTACCGTGTGTGACCCCATTATCCTCTCCAGACCTCAGCACCCTGTCTGCACCCTCCGGGTAAAGGTGTAAACTCGGCCTGGTTGGGAGCTGACTTGGGGCGCCTGAGCCTCAGTCTGCCCCTGCCCCCATCCCCCACTGCTAATTGAGAAGGGACTGGCTCCTCCCAGCGTGTGGCTGGCCTTGTGCATCCAGACACCCACCACAGGCGGGTGCCATCTCTGGGGTGCGATCAGGGGGGGTACAGGCCCCGGGGATTTTTCAAGGATGGCTGTGTTGAGATTTGATTCCCAGTGCAGAGGCTGAGATGCATCCAGGGACTGGGAACAAGCAGGGAATGAGAAGGGGTCTATTGGAAGAAATCTTAGGGGTAGGAAGAATGGGGCTGAGGTGCTCTGGTCACTGCTACCTGAAGCAGGAAGTCTTGGATCCGCACTGGAAGAGCCAAGTAACTGTGCCCATCCAGTTTGTCATCTGAATTAGTACCTGAGTACCAATCTCAGAGTGGAAGCACGGAGGGAGGGGTCACTTAGGCGGGGACAGCTACGCCCAGCTTCCTGTCTCCTACCTCCAACCACTTTCTTCTGGGTTTTGTGAGAATGAATGAAAGGAGCCCTGGTAGCATGGTGGTTATGGGTTGGACTGGGATCCTCAAGATCTGCAGTTCAAAACCACCAGCTGTTCCCATAAACAGTTCTTGGAAAATCACAGGGCAGTTCTCTCCTGCCCTATAGGGTCACTGTGAGTGGGCATCAGCTGGATAACAGTGAGTTACCCAGAGCAGCCTCCTGGCAGCAGAGGTGACAGATAACCACCACTTTTCCTGGCCCCTGAGGGCCCCTGGTTGGGTGTGGCCCAGGAAGGATGGTTCTGGAAGCAGCTGCTGCTCCACTTGGGGAAAACGCTGGGAGACCTGAGGACTGGCCCAGTTGTGCTGACCGGGAGCATGGTCAGCAGCTTCACTCCCACTATCTCTCTGCAGCTTGACCCTTGACACCAACCATGGGCAGATTCTGCTGGATTACTCCAAGAACCTGGTGACAGAGAAGGTTATGCAGATGCTGGTAGACCTGGTAAGGTGCTGTGTTGGGAGGCTTGACCTGTGACCCACAGTGTGGCGGGTGCACTAGGCTCCTAGACTGCCCGGGTCCTCTTTGCTGGTGCAGGGGGCCCCGTGCCTGATGTCTGAGCATAAGTCCTCGGACAGTAAGGGAAGGAGCCAGGCTGCATCCCTGTCTATCTCACTGTGGGTAGCTTCAAGCCCAGTACTTGGGGAGAGGGGGCTCATGGCATCTTACATGGGTGGGACCAGACCTCAGTGTCTTCTCTTCCTAGGCAAAGTCCAGGGGTGTGGAGACTGCCCGGGATAACATGTTCAGTGGTAAGAAGATCAACTTCACCGAGGTGAGCAGGGCATGGGGCTGCGCACACTCCAGGAGCGTCTCTCTTCCCTGTGGACACTTGGCTGCTAGCAGCATGGCCCTGCCCTGTGGCTTCCCCCCTTCTCTTAGGCAATGCTTTTACTTAATAAGAGGCCCAGAGGAGGCCTATTTCCTCAGGCTGGTTGCAGGGCCTTGTGGTGTGCCTCCTTCCTGACCTGAGACTGGCTGTTGGGTCTGGTGAGCTTCTTAGAATAGCTTCTCCTAGCTACTGAGGGAGGAGCATGCCTAAAGCCTGAAAAGAGAAGGCTTTTCCCTGGAAAATTTGGTTCTGATGCATCCTTGCTGCAAGTTCTGTGAGTAGAGACGAGCTGATGTCAGAACACCCCAACCTCGCTGGTGCTAGGAGTCAGTCAGAGCTGGCCATGCTCGCAGCCATTCAGCAAGGGGCTGATGTTGCTCATGAGGATTCTGAGGCACAGGGTAATGACTTCGCTGAGGTGCCGTAGCTCTGTGTGGCAGAGCTAGACTGAACACAGCCTGGCTTGCCAAACTGGGCTCTGCTGATGAAGAAGCTGCGTTCAAGGAAGGCTTTTCTGGGGTGGCTGAGGCCGGGCTAGCACTCGCTGCACTCGCTTGTGGAGTGTGGGCCTGTGGAGATGTGTGTGCTCCTCTACCTTCTCGATCCTCGCTGGGTTAGGGAGGTAGAATCACTCCTTGTTTCCCCATTTGGGGTCTTTAACCTGCTTTTTTCAAGGACTCCTCTGCTGGCTTCAGTTTGACGGGGCTGGTTCCCTCCTGGTCCCAGGCCAGCTCTCTGGCTCCTGTCACAGACGTGGCATCCGGTTTGGCTTCTGGCAGTTGGAGGTGAAGGGACCACTTGGTGAAGGAAGCTTGCTTTGCCAGCATTGCTCTACATCCAAGGGGCCAGGGCCAGTTTCACAAAGTTCTCATAAACCCCACGTGCTTCACTGGGGAGAGGTGGTGCAAGCAGGGAAGTCCTGCACAACCAGCCAAAAGGTGGGGAGGCTTAAACCTACCCACAGGCTCCTCAGAAAACAGGCTGGTGGTCTCCTTCCCAAAGTCACGGCCATCAGGCACTGGAGGAGTGGCTCCCCAGGAGTGAAATAGACTTGATGACAACAAGGTCCTCAGAAAACTGGTTTGGGCTTGGCTTTGACCTTCGCGGTTGTATTAGTCTGGGTACTTTGGAGAAACAAATCCACAGCGACTCATGTATAAGAGAGAGTTTTATGTAAAGAAAATGTGCATCACGAAAACATCCCAACCCAATGCTGCCCAAGCCCACAAGTCCACCATTAACCCATATGTCCAACACCAATCCACAAAGTCCTCCACCTCACAAAACAGAGGCAATGATGCCGACTGCAGGAGGAAAGCTGAGTCAGTGAAGAATAAGCATCTCAGCACTAGCAGGGGTCTCCACACGGCTGCTCCAGCACCCAGGGCTGCATCGGGATAGGTCCATGTGGCTTCTCCTTGGGGATGTCTTGTAGGAAGTAAATCTTGCAAGCTGAAGCAGGGAACTGCTAAGGCAGCTGCACCCGGTGCAACCATCACAAAACAAGAGACCCGAGAACTAGAAAGGCGAGGCTCACCACCCATTTATCCCTCTGCCTTTCAATTAGCCCCACATGTGATTATCGGCCAGGCTGGCACAATTAACTAACTCAGCGGTCACCACTCCACCTTTGCTTCCCTCTGGATATCCCTTCTGGCTAGAGGCCTGAGCCAGTTTGGGGGCCATAGTGTAGTTTGCTGAGCTGAGAACGTGGCTGCCCTGGGTGGGTGCCCTCACTCCCTGACTCTCATCTCTAGGACCGGGCAGTACTGCATGTGGCCCTGCGGAACCGGTCCAACACCCCCATTCTGGTGGATGGCAAGGATGTGATGGTGGAGGTCAACAAGGTCCTGGACAAGATGAAGTCTTTCTGCGAGGTAAGTAACCGCTGTCCTGGCCTTGACCTTGTGTGTACTTTGGGAATCTGGGCATCCTGGTGGGCAGTTCCCCTGAGTTCCTTGGTGGCAGGACTCAGTCCTTGCTGCAGCTCGAAGCTAGCTTAGTTATCCTACTAAGGTGGACCTGACTCTGAGGGAACCTGCTCAGGGCACCAGCAGGGACCTTCTCTCTGGGACAGGAGAATGAAAAGGGAGGCCCCTTGGGGATTGGGTAGCAGGGAGGGGGACTTGCTTCTCTTTTTAGTCACGTGTGCTTCTTGCAATAGTGTATAGAACTAAATAAATACAGAAAAGTCCCTGATACCACCCCAGTGAGCTTTCTAGAGGGAACATTTCTGTGAAAGCTTTCAAAGCTTCATAGGTCTGTTCTTTCACACACACACACACACACACACACACACACACACAATTGTTTTCTTCTAGCTGATCCCTGGCTGTTTCTTTCCCTTTGTTAGTGTGTAAGAGATGGCTCTGGGCTCCTGTCAGTACACATAACTGTGCCTTTTCCTGGGTGTGTGTGGGGTGGGGTCGGGGATGGGGTGTAAGGAGTTCCCTCAGAAACTAGCCAGATTTCCCCACCTCTACCACTGCTGCTCCAGGGCCGGTCCCAGGGGAGATTCTATAAGGGCCAGCCTGGTGACGTGCAGCCTGGAGCACAGGGGTGGTGTCAGGGCCTGTGTGTCCCCATGTATGTATGCGTGTGTCTGTCCGTGTGAGCGGGTGCATGGGGAGTGGCCATCTGGGTTCTGGCCAGGGCCAGTCAGTCACTGTTCACTCCTGAGAGCCATGGCCCTACCTGAGGCGGGTTAAAGACTGCCTGCTTTGGCCAAGAGCCGCTTTTAGACCTGGAGATGATGTAGGCAGTAGGAGGTGAGGGCAGCATGGATCCCAACGACCTGGCCACCATGTAGGCGGGAATCCCCAGAGTGAGGAAAACTTGGCCTCCTGGTGGGAATCTGAAGTTTAGAATGTCTCCTGTCGTGACTGACTTCCTTGATGGGCTTTG